CCCCAAAACCCCAAAACCCCAAAACCCCAAAACCCCAATTTCCCAATTCTTCGCATAATAAATTTAAATCTAATGTCAACACACAAGAAGAGGTCAAGTAAGCAAGGCAACTCAGCTGGCCATGACCACTGATTTAGAAAGAATCAAGAAATTAGAGGATCAGATAACGCATAATTCTTCATACCAGCAATATTCAGCAATGAATCAGGAAAATCTAGTATGCTAGCTAAGTGATTTTATAGGTCGTCAAAATTGAATTCCTAAATAAAGAGAACATTCAGCTTAAAACTGAACTCTCTGAGGTATGAACTTGGGTAAAATTGTAGAATACAAAAATGCTCGAGCTCAAAGAAAAGCTACTAAATGACTTGAATAATGGCAGAGCTCAAAACTTTGCAGCTAGGAAAGTAAATTATCAATGCTAAAGTATAGAGTAAGTCCAGATTTGATGATCGATAGTCCAGGAATCAATCACAAGAGAAAACCAGAATCTCAAGAGCCAATTTAATGATCTCAAATAAAGAACGAGATGAGTCCCAACAGAAATGACTTGTACTTGAGCAGATTATCCGGCATTATAAAAGCGAAGAAAAAGATTTCCAGAATACTCTTGAAGAAAAATTGTTTGTCCAAGGACAGATTATCGCCAAGAAAGATGTGACTATTGAGAACTGGCAACAAAAATTTGCTGATCTACGAGTCCAATACGAGACCATTTTGGAACAAATAAACTCGTAGGTGTGAAAAATTTATCAAAATAGAGGCAAATTAGGAAAGGAACCAATCCATTTGCGGAATGTCATAGTCGAGCAGCCCATAATTGAACCTATAGAGGAGTTGATTATGTACAAATGTAGGGATCACTGCAAGATTAGTGACTTCAATGAGCTCAAAGAAGAACATAAAAAGGAAATGGAAAGGTTCAACAATGTAAAATAGATACGTCACAATGCTGACTGACAAAATTGTCAAATATAAAGACGTTGTTTTACAGTTCATTAATATCACTCCTAAAGCTAAACTGAAGAAGAATATTAATCTAGGCGATCTTAATCTAGATGAAGATGATCCACTACTGAGAGCAGCTGACCAGCTCTCAGATCCAGAAACTCCTGATGTCTCAGCAAGATTCAATGTGAAAAAGAATATCAAAAAGGATGCTAAAAAGCAGATTAAAGAAAGAGAGCGTCAAAAGTTGCAAGATTATAAAATCAAGGAGCCTGAGGAGAAGAAGGAAGATCCTAGTGAAGATCTTCCTTCTCTTAAGCCATCGCCTAAGTTGTCCCCTAAAAAGGAGATTGAAACTCCTATAGAGCAATCATCAAAAGAGAAAAGTGTCAGTCCTAGAGATTTAGATATGAGAGACACAAGGTCTGATGAGATGAAGAGTAGAATCGGAGGATCGATTCAGAGAGTAAAGCTAACTAAAGTTCCAGCTAAAATAGAAGAGAGTAATCTTTACAGTAATCCATGTAGAGGAAACAGAGAGTAGCCGGACTCAAAAGAACGTATTATTTGACGATACTTCCTCAGATCCTTCTCTAAGTCAAAGAATTGAAAGAGATAGTTCTTTGAAACAATCCTCAAGCTCAAAGAAAGAGTCTTTATCCGAAAGAGTTGTTCAGCTTCGACAACCTCAAACAATTGTAAAGCAAATAGGTGACAATAAAGTTGTACTTAGACAACTACAACCAACTAAGGTTGTTTCAAACACAACAAAACCTGTAGGAAGAAAAATTTCCTCTCATCAGACTAACCAAAGAGACAAATCTCCCGATAGCTTCACTCTTTCAGACAATTCCCAAAAACCCAAAAATCTCAAAAAATCCAAATCACCCCAAAACCAGAAAAATCTCCCTCAAAACGATTCCATCTTAGAGGACCTCGAAGAGGTCCTCCAAAGCCCCCAAAACCCCACTCCCACCTCAAAATCCCCCGTTCAAAACTCCCTCAAACCCGCCCCAGAGCCCTTCCAAATCGACTTCAACACCATCAAAAACCTAAAACCCCAAGCTGAAGAAATCCCCACTCAAAAAGTAACCAAAATCGAATTCAGCGCTATCCCCTTGACCAACCCCACCCATGCCGCACAGGAACGGTCTCTCTCTGAACCTGCTGAATCCAGTAGTCATTCTATTCACAAAAGTGATGAGACACCTAATACACCTCCTTTTTCGATCAGGAATATGGACTTGGAATATACACAAGGAAAGTACAAGAATGTAATCCCAGCACTAGACTTCAACTTACTAGGGAAGAAGAAAAAGAAGAGAGATCAAATAGAGCAGAAGAAGGAGATTAAACCTCCAACCCCAGAGGTTACATATTATGAAGAAGAGGAAGAAGAGGTAGAGTTTGAGGAAGAGAGCGATAAAAATGAGGATAAAATGTTTAAACCAGTTAAGAAACAAACACAAAAAGGTAAGTACAGTTTGAAAACGTATAGAAAAAAAGAGAAGTAATAAAAAGATTAAAGCTCAAGGAGCTCAGTTGAAGGAACTTCCTCAAGCTGCGAAAGAGCCCTCATTGGAGGAACTAGCGCTGGAATCTATAGGAGCTTCTACTGTGGATAAGAGATCTCCCCAAGATGCACCAACAAAAAGTAATATAAAACTTAGTGGTCTCAATATTGCCAATCAGAAGGATCGTACTCGTGGAACAACTCAATCCATGATGAACAAATCTAAAGGTTCTCAAGGGATGATGGGTAGTACCATGAACAGTACTGTGTACAACCCAACCTTAAACCAACCCAAAAAAATAGTAATCAAAGAACAAGAAGCTCAGAAAGCTCGTGAAGAGCGTGAGAGGCAAATGGAGGCTGAACGTACCAAAAAGCCGGAAATATACTACAAAGCTCATGCCGAGCTAAAGTAATCCCTCTCTTACCTTCCCATAGAGAACAAAAGCTTCGTGAAAAGATTATGAAAGAAAAACTTCTTCGTGAGAAACAAAAAGAAGAGGAAGAAAAAGTAAAAGCTCACACCCTAAAGGAAAACCAAAAGAGAAAGATTGAAAAGCTAAAACGTGAGAAACAAGAACGTCTTAAGGGAAAGCAAGACAAGCTCAGAAAGAAGGAAGAAGAGAAATACGACCCTAATGACCGTCTTGAGGTCGAAAGCAGCAGGAGTGATGAACCTTACATTGAAAAAGTACCTAATCTATAACCTCTAGGACCTAAAATCTGAGTCTAGTGAAGGCGAAGAAATTATTATAATTGAAGAGGAAGAAGAGGAATACGAAAGCGAGAGTGCTGAAAAGCCTACCACCCCTCCTAAAGAAAAACGCAAACAGAATAAGAAAAGTCGGCTCGAGAAGCAGAAGGAAGACCTTCTGCGTCAGAAAGAGGAAATGCAGAAAGAAATTGCCAGAAGAAGAGAGGAGAAAGAGAGAGAACGCAAGAGAGAACGAGCAATTAGACTAGAAGAAGAAAGAAGACTTAGACTTGCTAAAGAAGAAAAAGAGAGAAAAGCAAGGGAAAACCGTCAGAAACCAACCAAAGAGCAAGCAAAACGAATGGTCAGAGAGAGACAGGAGGAAGAGAAACTTAGGTTAGACGAGATGAGGAACATGGAACTGGTAAGTAGGAAGAGTTATTGCTTTAGATCAAGAAGAAAAAGGAAATGGAAGAGAAGAAACTTAAAACCATCTCTATGAAGAAGCATGAAAGCTCTAGTAGCTCAGAAGAGTCAGATAGTTTCCCAGAGGATCTACCTTCATCAGAGAAGCAAAGGCATATGAATCCTGTATCTTTTGTACAGAAAGCAGAAGAGTTGGTAATGCAGCAGATTATATCCAATGCTAATTTTGGGCCTGAATCTCCTAAAAACAAGTCTTCTAAGAAAAATAAGCCTGTTTTGAAGCAGAGAGAAGAGGCGATGAATTCTCACAAAAAGGACAAAAGAAGTTACAATAAAGAGTCAAAAGCTGTCCGTAAGGATCGTCCATTACAACCCGAATCATTGTCAGAGGAATATGAATTAATTGAGGAAGAGGAAGAATCTGAAAGTTCAGATACGGCTAAATATTCCCCTCCTCCAAAGAAAAAGAAGCATAAAGAGTTCAAGATATAATTTCAACCAAATCTTGAATACCAGGGGTTTTGGGGTTTTGGGGTTTTGGGGTTTTGGGGTTTGGGG